TTAAGTTTAGTTATTTGTTTAGTTGTCTCTGTTTAAAAAAAAAAAAAAAAAAAAAAAAAAAAAAAAGTTGTACTTCTGGCAAGACCAATTTGAGAAACTCTCATTATAACAGATTCCAGTTCATAAACGTTCCAAAAACAAACAAACAAAATCCCTAAAAGGAAAGCAAAAACTTTAAAATGACACAACTATGAAAGTGTTGCTATTAAAATAAAAGTATCCACTCCCAGGAGATGCACTTTTTAAAACTGAAAAATATTTTAGTATCATTTTACAGCTGAGGTTGAGATTAAAACATCGCTTCATAGCAAAAAGAAAGCTGAAATGCTTTAAAATGTGTCTTGATGCAGATCAGTACGGCTGCGTGGTGTGCAAGAGAATGGATGAATGTTTCAGTCTCAGCCCAGCACAAGTCTGACACAGCATTCCAAATAAGTGGAAAATAGAAATTATAATAACCCACATTAAGAAACCTAACATCCTTCTTCACAGAGTGAATATACACTGACCAGAAGTAAAAGAAGTGATTCACATAGCTCTCTATCACCTCTTAAGATGACCATTAAGCCCCTTGCAGCGCCAATCAATTGAGTGAGAAGGAGGAAATACTTCATTCAAAGTGATAAGGGATAAGCCTGTGCCAGGCCTATTTCAATTGTTATTTCAAAACCTGTTTCAATTTCCTTAAGACCGCTGTATTATTTACATATGACTATTTCTGCTCCTGAGAACTGCAATTCATTCCTATGGGAATGCTCATGATTAAAACTTTGCAAGATTAGCCTCATAATGATGACCAGAACTGTACGTACCATTAATGCAATGATAGAAAAATGGAAATCGGCCAGCTTTGTTATTTGAGAATTTGGGGTGCTTCATGAATTTCCTCACTGAACTGATGTACAATTGATGGCAGAACCTGCATCAGTAGAGGCCACATATCTATTCTTCTTCACTGGCTCTGTTACAAATCCAAAAGTGCTCAGAAAGGACTTTGTGAGACACAAAGAATATGAGCAAAAGCTCGTGGTAACTGAGGATGTCAAGGCAAAGTGAAAGCTGATTCCTTGTTCACTGCTGTGTGGGTTCTACCTTTACCAGAAGTTAAAATGTGGGTTTGTAGATGTGATAAAGGGATACAATTCAAAAACATGCAGGAACCGGACAAAAGAAGCTTTGTCATTTTTACAGTCACCTATATGAGTTAATTTAAGACGTAAGTACAATAACCAGATCTGCTCATACAGCCAAACT